CTCTTGCTCACTTAAAAATTGGATTATTGGGCTGGTCACGGTGGCTCATGCCTGTAATCCCAGCATTTTGGGAGGCCAAGGTGGGTGGATCACTTAAGGTCAGGAGTTTGAGACCAGCCTGGCCAACATGGTGTATTTTTAGTCTCTACTAAAGATACAAAAATTAGCCAGGCATGGTGGTGCACACCTGTAATCCCAGCTACTCATGAGGCTGAGGCGGAGAATCGCTTGAACCTGGGTGGCAGAGATTGCACCACTGCACTCCATCCTGGGCAAAAGAGCGAGACTCTGTCTCAAAAAACAAAAAAGGATTATCTAATTTTTTTTATTATTGATTTATAATAGTTCTTTATATATTTTAGATACAAGTACCCTATCAGATATATCATTTGCTAATATTTTCTCTGGGTTGTATAGCCTTGTGATGTAAGGGATCTTTCTAAGTGAAGTTTTTAGTTTTACTTGTTTTTGTTGTTTTTGAGATAGGATCTCTGTCTTCCTGGCTGGAGTGCAGTGGTACAATCTTGGCTCACTGCAATCTCTCCCTCCTGGGTTTAATCAGTCCTCCTACCTTAGGGACCACAGGCATGTGCTACATGCCCAGATCATTTTTGTGCTTTTAGTAGAGATAGGGTTTTGCCACATTGGCCGAGCTGGTCTGAAACTCCTGGCCTCAAGTGATCCACCTGCCTTGTCCTCCCAAAGTGCTGGAATTAAAGGCATGAGTCATGATGCCCTGCCAAGTCAAGTCTTTTTAAGACAAGGAAGAGAAGGAAAATTCAAATGTAATAATATAATAAGTAAGGCCGGGTATGGTGGATCTTATAGCACTTTGGGAGATTAAGGCAGGAGGATTGCTTGAGCCCAAGAATTCAAGACCAGCCTTGGCTACAAAGAGTCCCTGTCTCTACAAAAAATAAAGAAACTAGCTGGCTATAGTGGAATGCACCTATAGTTCCAGCTGTGTGGGAGCTTGAGGTAGGAGGGAAGCTGAGGAGGGAGGATTGCTTGAGGCCAGTAGTTTGAGGCTGCAGTGAGCCATAATGGCACCACTGCACTCCAGCCTGGGCAAGACCTGGTCTCTCTCTCTCACACACACACACAAAAGAAATTACTGTCATCAGCCTATATGTAGCACTATAGATATGCCAAAAAAGTGTTCATTTTGCATAGGATGAGCAAATGTTAACTATTTAAAACAACTTTTAAAGAGAATTTTCCATTTGATTCAGTTTATTTAGAATTTAGCTTATACATAGTGTCGTGTGTGTTGTGTCAGTCATTCCTACTGGATTGTAAATGTGGATGCTGCCTGTTTTGCTTACCAGTATGTTCCCAGGGCCTGTCTGATATGAGGCTCATGTCCAATAAATGTTTGTTACATGAATGAATGAGTAAACATCAGTGTGGGCTAGAGCTATTGGGCGTGTGGCATTCGTTAAGTTAATCTAGAAAGTTGTCACAAGATGGAAGATGTTAGGGTGACAAGAGTACAAAGCCCAAGGGTGCCCCTCAGAGCCCTGCCATTAATGAGGCTGTAGTAGCAGCCCTTCTGGGATCTGGGAAATGAGGAAATGAGGGGATGCATTGGATTGTCTCCTGTTTTTTTTTTTTTTCTTGAGACTGAGTTTTGCTCTTGTTGCCCAGGTTGGAGTGCTATGGTACAATCTCGGCTCACTGCAACCTCCACCTCCCGGGTTCAAGCAATTCTCCTGCCTTAGCCTCCTGAGTAGCTGGGACTACAGGTGCCTGCCACCACACCCAGCTAAATTTTGTATTTTTAGTAGACATGGGGTTTCACCATGTTTGCCAGGTTGGTCTCGAACTCCTGTTCCAAAGTGCTGGGATTACAGGCATGAACCACAGAGCCCAGCCTGGACTTTCAAAACAGGCAAAAAGGAAGCCACTGCTGTAAAGACACCAATAGACCCTTGTGAGGCTTATTCCTGATCCAAATCCTGGACATTCTGAGTGGCCACCGTGTGCCCTGGTTTGGGGGTCTAAAGGCATGAAAACGAGCCGTGGACATGCTGTGGAAATGGCATCTCTGTAATTTGGAGGCGCTGAAAGATGTGACAGGCTGTCCAGTGGTGCCATTCCAAAGCCGACGGTGCTAAAAGCTCGGAAATAGTCTCTGTTCAAAGGTGTCCTTCCAAGGCCTGCGGCGTGCCCCTCCCTCACCAGCCACGCAGCCACACGCCTTCACATTTGATGCCTATGTCCTGCCCGCCCGCTCGTCTGTGGCATCCTGGGAGTCATGCTTAGGCACATGGCTGGGGCTCTATCATTAAACTGCCAGCCCCGATTATAGCCCTTCAGATGGGCCTTTAAAAAGGCACAGCTCTAAGAGGTGCCAGAATTAAATTGGAGGGCAAATTCCATCCCTAAAATAAAGACCGTGGGAATTGCTGTCTTCTGTAGCTGGGCAATCAAAGTGTTTTTCTTTAAAATTGACCTAAGTCGGAACGTATACCTTTGATCAGCGTGTCTGGACCCTCATGCCCTTGGCTGACAATGCTCACGATGCCACATGGGGATCCATGCAGGGGGAGCCAGGACCGAAGCCCTGGCCCATGGCTTGTGATGAGAGGAGCCTCGGCAGCTGGAGCAGGGTGGGAGGGACCAGGGGGATGGTGGGTGGCAGATTCTGGGGGTGAGAGGAAGCCATGGAAGCATTTTCTTTTATCTTTTTTTTTTTTTTGAGACGGAGTTTCACTTTTGTTGCCCAGGCTGCAGTGCAGTGGCTCGACCTCAGCTCACAGCAACCTCTGCCTTCAGGGTTCAGGCAATTCTCCTGCCTCAGCTTCCCGAATACCTGGGATTACAGGCATGTTTCTACACACCTGGTTAATTTTTGTATTTTTAGTAGAGCTGGGTTTCACCATGTTAGCCAGGCTGTCTGCAACTCCTGACCTCAGGTGATCCACCTGCCTCAGCCTCCCAAAGTGCTGGGATTAGAAAGAGGCATGAGCCACCTCACCCTGTCACAGGACCAGTCTGTAGAGGGCTTGTGGGGTCACTTCTGTTCAGGCTCTGCTGGAGCTGAGGTAACAGTTTCCCAGTGCTTAGGGCCATTTCCGACTAGCATTGTCCCCAGGCCGATGCATGTTGCTGGCTCTGTCTATCTATTACATGACCCAAACTTAAGGAAACAGCCTCTGAACTTCTGACTCCCTTTAAGAAAGTTTATTTCTTTCCAGGCAGGGCATGGGCTCAAGCCTATAATTCCAGCACTTTGGACGGCCGAAGTGGGTGGATCACAAGGTCGGGAGTTTGAGACAAGCCTATCCTGGCCAATATGGTAAAACCTGTCTCTCTAAAAAAAAAAAAAAAGTATATTTCTTTCCTTTTAGAATTTTTTCTCTTGCTTGCTTTGAGGGGTCTGTTTGAGATGGAGGTTCACTCTTTTACCCAGGCTGGAGTACAGTGATGTGATCTCGGCTCACTGCAACCTCTGCCTTCCGGGTTCAAGTGATTCTCCTGAGTACCTGGGATTAAAGGTGCCCCCCACCATGTATTTTTAGTACTGACAGAGTTTCACCATGTTGGCCAGGATGGTCTCAAATTTCTGGCCTCTGGTGACCCACACACCTCAGCCTCCCAAAGTGCTGGGATTACAGGCGTAAGCCACTGCACCCGGCCTGTTTGTTTTTTGAGACAGGGTTTCTCTCTGTCACCCAGGCTGGAGTGCAGTGGCATGATCATAGCTCAATGCAGCCTCGAATTCCCAGGCTCAAGTGATCCTTGAGTAGCTAGGACTGCAGGCATGCCATCACACCTGGCTAATTTATTTACTTATTGAGTAGAGATGGGGTGTCGCTATATTGCCTAGGCTGGTCTTAAAGCCCTGGGCTCAAGAGATTCTCCCACCTTAGCCTTCCAAATTGCTGAGATTCCAGGTGTGACCACACACCCAGTCTGAGGTTTTAAAATTGTTGTATAGTATAGTTTAGTATAGTATAATATGATGGTTAACAGTGGGGTGGCAGGCGCAGTGACTCATGCCTGTAATCCAGCACTTTGGGAGGCTGAGGTTGGCAGAGCACCTGAGGTCGGGAGTTCAAGACCATCCTGACCAACATGGAGAAACCCCATCTATACCACAAATACAAAATTAGCTGGGTATGGTGGTCCATGCCTGTAATCCCATCTACTCAGGAGGCTGAGGCAACAGAATCGCTTGAACCCGGGAGGCGGAGGTTGTGGGGAGCCTAGACCATGCCACTGTACTCTAGCCTGGCCAAGAAGAGTGTAACTCCATCTCGAAAGAGAGAGAGAGAGAGGTTACAGACTCAAAGCGACCCAGCTGAAAATCTTATCTCTACCACCACTGTTTGGGCAAACATCTTCCCTCCTCTGAGACTCAGTTTTGTCATCTGCAAAAGGCGACACCATTCCCAGGGGACATTGGCTCTTCTGATCACATGGCATAACAGCAATGCCTGAGAGGCTGTGCTGTGCAGGAAGCCAGACACCCAGGAGTGAAGACAGACAGGGCCCCACCCCCAAAGCCCAGGAGAGTAAGGAGTGGGTAAGACATCCCCGCAGCTGGGATGGCACAGGCGACTGCGCCAGATCATGGCAGCTCAACCTCTACATGGGAGCAGGCGAGTGAGGGCCAGAGAGCAGGGCTGTGCAGGGCCTGTGAGGCAGGAACTGGATCCTCCAGGCCAGGGACTTTCCATTTGTTTAGCAGTGGCCCAAAGTTAAGAGATGCATGTTTTAGTGTGACCCCGTCTGAACCCAATTGTATGAATATAACTGAAACCAGAAGGTCGCAAACAGTGTCCTTACTACGCTTCGTGTTCTGTTTTTTTTTAATTGCTTGTCTTGACCCTGTACATTGATTTCAGACTCCTGGGTCTTCTCCAGCAGAGAGCTTCTGCCAGTTTAGGAAGGGCAGGAGCAGGATGAGTTTGTGGATCGCTAGGGGCTCAGAGCCACAGAGGCAGCCCCGGTTGGGCAGGAGAGGGGGCTGTTGAGGTGGAGGGGTGGGGGGCATGTACTGGCAGTGGGCAGGTCTGATCCTGAACATCAGTGAGCCACAGGAAAGCTGCCAGGTGGGCACACAAACACGTGGGGGCACTTCCCACCAGGGACTCACTCAGCATGGGGTCCCTGTGCCAGGGGTGGGAGGGTAGTAACTCCACCCAGATCTCAACCCCCAAGTTCAAGCAGCCACAGATTCATAAGAAGAACTGGAAAAGGAAGGACTCAGGCACCCTCAGGCAGTTGGCAAAGTCTTTCCCAACAAGGGTGGGAGAAGAGGAGCTGGAAGCTGTGGACAGAGGGCTGTTCATGTCCAGAGCCCTCAAATACCACACCACAGAAGGGACTTCAGCTGGGCCAGGCCGGCACACGGGATGGGGATGGTGCCCCAGCCTGGGTCGGGGACAGGCCCCTGGGGGTCCTGCTGCACCTGGACCATCAGGGCCTGTGTCCCCTGTGCCAAGGGCGTGTCATTTTTCCCAAACCCCCAAATTTGCCTCTTTTTTTTTTTTTTGAAACAGAGATAGCTCTTGTTTCCCAGGCTGGAGTACAGTGGCTCAATCTCGGCTCACTGCAACCTCTGCCTCCTGGGTTCAAGCTATTCTCCTGCCTCATCTTCCCAAGTATCTGAGACTATAGGAGTGTGCCACTACACCCGGCTAATTTTTGTATTTTTAGTAGAGATGGAATTTCACCCTGTTAACCAGGCTGGTCTTGAAATCCTGACCTCAGGTGATCTGCCCACAGTGCTGAGGTTACAGGCTTGAGCCACCACACCCAGCTGGCATTTGCCTTTGAAAATCCTCAAGGAGGACTCCCTGCCTCATTCTCATACCCTGGAGAAAGGCAGCCTGGCTCTTGGCAAGCAGCTGGGTTCCAGGTCCAGTGAATCCCGCAACAGTCCCTGAAGGTTGGCATTGTTGCTCTCCCTGTGTTGTGGGGAGATGCTGAGGTCAGAGAAGTTAAGCTGCCTGCCGAACGAAGGTTGCACAGCCTTGAAGTGGCAGAGCCAGGTGCTGAATCCAGGCCTGTTGCCTCCAGAACCTGGGCTTTCCCCAGACACCTGTGCCCATCGCCCCTGTTTCCAGCCAGGCCCAAGCCTTCCTCACAGTGTGGGAGAAACTTCCCTGGAGCTGCAGGGAAGTGAGGGATGGGAAAAGTGTACTGCCCAAAACACACTCTGGTATAGCAGTATAGCAGGGTGGGCAGACTGAGCAGGGATGCACGGTGCTGCCCAGATCAGATGTCTGTGCTTGCAGCTGTGTGGGGGTGGGGAGGCACAGGGGAGGACCTGAAGGCTCAGAACAAATAGCCAAGCCCTGGGGCGGGGCCCTCCCAGATACCTGCGGCAACCCTGCCTCTGGTGGCCCTGCTGCCCTCCTGTTCCACCCCTCCTCCCCCATGGTCCTCACCCGGGTGCCCTCTCCCCTCTCCCTGCACCATCCCATCCACATTCACCAGGCTCAAGAGGCTCAGAAAACTCCCCAAGAGCCAAACTCTCCCTGCCCCTGCAGCCTTCCCTCCTGGCAGGGCAGGCCGGGGAGTTCATGTCTTCACCCGCCCCTCCTCACCCTGTGCCCCAACTCTGCCCTCCCCAAGCCCCAGGGGAGCTCCTTGCAGCCACTTCCAGGCCCCTCTCTCCAACAGGCAGGCAAATGGAGAATCCTCCTAAGTTCTCTAAAAGGTTGGGATCCAATCCACCCTGCACAGAAAACACCTAGGGCTCCTTGAGACACTTCCTCCCTGTGCCCAAGGGCCAGTCCCAGCTCCACCTGCCCCAGGTCCCTGGGACCTGGAGAATGACCAGAAAAGCAGCAGGAGCAGGTCCTGGGCCCTCTAGATGCCTTGTTGTTGGAGAATTTCTCCCGGCAAAACCTAGTTCCTCCAAGTCAAAGTCCAAAGGTCAACGAAAGTCACACATGAGTCCCAGTTCTTCACATCTCTAACCCTGTGTAACAGATGAAACTTCTCTGATGCTGAAGTGGTTCTCCATGTCACCCGGGTCCTGTGTGAGGGGGAGGGGCGAGGTCCCTCTTCTTTTTCCCGCCCAGACTCCCTCCTTGTCCGTCCCCACTGATCAAGCTGGTGGAGGCAGAAAAGACCTGTCATGTCAGGCACATGGGAGGCTGGCCCTGGGCTCCGGGTGCTTGTAGAGTTGGCCTTGAGTCCCGTGGGGCACGTTCATGGCCGTACAGGACCCCCACGGAAGTGCTGCAAACAAATGACAGCTGAAAAGCATTTGTGGACTTGGAAATGGCCATGAAACCTATCTTCAGCACTGAGCTGTCATGGGGAAGTGCCTCTAGTAGGCAGCCAGCTAGGGCCTGGACTTCTATGGCCTGCACTGCTGAAGGGGCCTCTGGGAGGCACAGGGCCAGGAGATGGGCTGGGAGCTGGGCAGTTGCAGGGGTCCAGCTCAGGGGTACTGACGCCCAGTAAAAGGAAGGCAGGGGAGGCGGTGACCAAAGTCCAGAACCTGGCAGGCCTTGGCGGCACCTGCAGGCTTCCTCTCCTCTCCCTGGGTTTTGGCCTGATGTCTCCAGACCAGCTGTTGTTACTGATGGAGCTGCTCAGAGACTGCTTCCTCTCTTCACTTTTTAGAGACAGCAGTTTCATCAGAGGTCTGAGGTTCTTGCTTCAAAACCTCTCCTCGCTGTGGCAGACCTGAGCCAGAGCTGAACGTTTTCATGATCCTGACACTCTGACCTTAAAATAACAAATCCCAAAAGAAGACAGAACGATGGCCATCCGTTTTTATAGATTTCCCTGGAATTATAAATATCGGCATAATTGCGATAGCAGAGTTCATTATTTTCTAGAAGGATACTTTGGACAGAGAGAATTTTTAAAGTCAATTGGTCTGAAGTCTTCCTGCCCAGGAGAAACAGGAAGGTTTCATGGTGCTGACTGTGTATCTGTCCTCCCCCTGGAGTGGCTTCTTAGCAGGAGGCCCCGGTGAGGAAATGGAGGTCACAGGTTGAGGGGGACATGGGGTAGGGGCACAGAGGGGGAAGTGGCCTGTGAGTGTTGTGTGGAGCTGTAGGGTGGGGTCGGTGACAATGTCATTTGTTCACCCCACCCCTCTTGTCTCATACAAAATTTTTTTTTTGAGATGGGGCCTTGCTCTTGTCGCCCAGGCTGGAGTGCAATGGCACAATCTCAGCTCACTGCAACCTGCGCCTCCCAGGTTCAAACATTCTCCTGCCCCAGCCTCCCAAGTAGCTGGAATTACAGGCTCCCACCACAATGCCTGGCTAATTTTTGTGTTTTTAGTAGAGATGGAGTTTCGCCATGTTTGGCCAGGCTGGTCTTGAACTCTTGACCTCAGGTGATCAGCCCACCTGTGCCTCCCAAAGTGCTAGGATTACAGGCATGAAACACTCTGCCCAGCCTGGGGATGTCTCTTTAGGGGCTCAATAAGAAGCTCAAAATATCAGAAAGTTTTGAGGAATTAACTGAAGCGCAGGGCCGACTATGTGTCTGTCTGTCCCGCATCTTCCAGAAGGCTGGCCTCCCTTTTGGGACCCTTTTCCCAGAGCTCTGGCTCAGAGCTGAACTGAAGAGACCTGGGAAGTCAGTCTGGCCTCACTCCAGCCCCACACCACAGGCAGCACCTGCACCTCATTTTCCCCAACAAAATAAATCTTGCGGCTCCTCTGAGGATCTCAAACACACTATCTACGCCCAAGTAACAAGGCGGCCTGCATGTTCTTGGCTGCTGGCTGCTGGCTGCTGACCTCAGTTTAAAACTGTCTGCTGCTCAGCTGCTAGAGAAGGCGGGGCCTGGAGCGCCTGGGAGCGCTGAAGCTGAGGGGTCTGAGCGGCTGAAGTCTGGGGCAGGGGGTGGCTGCCGCCCCAGCCCAGGATCCAAACAGCATCTCAGAGGCCTGCAGCAGGGGTTAGAGGCCCCCCAGGGAGGGCTGCTTTCAAACTGTTTTCTGAAGTGCCTCTGATGACTGGGGGGGAGGGGTGCCTCCTGCAAAACTGGCCTTGTCACGGTCCGTTGACATCATGATCACAGCCGAAATGGCCCCACGTGGAGCACCTCTTCGGTGTTGGAAAAACCACTCTCAGGATGTTGCCTGTTATACTACATAAAAACCTAACTGGGCGCGGTGGCTCATGTCTGTAATCACAGCACTTTGGGAGGCTGAGGCAGGTGGATCACCTGAGGTCGGGAGTTTCAGACCAGCCTGACCAACGTGGAGAAACTCCATCCCTACTAAAAATGCAGAATTAGCTGTGTGTGATGGTGCATGTTTGTAATCCCAGCTACTTGGGAGGGGAGGTTGCAGTGAGGCCAGGTGAGCCGAGATTGTGCCACTGCACTCCAACCAGGGCAACGAGAGCGAAACTCCATCTAAAAAAAAAAAAAAACAAAACCCAAAAGCCTGACACATCCTTTCCACTTCTACCACCCGTGCAGCAGACAAAACTCTTGCTTCCTTTCATTTTCTTGCTTCCTTTGTTATTTCCCATCCGTCACCAGCTTTCACTCTTCTCAGGCCTGGGCATTTATTTTACGTGGCCTCTTGGACTTCGGGAAGGAGAGGGGTTAGGAGAGCAGGCTCTGGTGTCTCCCAGGCCTGAATGGCATTGTAGCTCCGCTCTCTACCTGCTGAGGGATCAGGAGCTAGGTGCTTCAGCTCCCTGACCCTCAGACTCTTTCCCTTTGCAAAACAGGGGCTCTCGTTTTGCCTACGGATATATTAGGAGAGGCAGAGCGGTGTGTGTAATGTGCCTGGCACAAGTCCGACACACAGCAAGTGCAGGAGAGGCAGAAGCTGCAGCTGCAGAGGTAGGGGCACAGAAGGCATGAGACTTGTCTTTTGTTTTTTGTTTATTTTTTTTTTGAGATGGAGCTCGATCTTGTCACCTAGGCTGGAGTGAAGTGCCATGATCTCAGCAACCTCCGCATCCCAGGTTCCAGTGATTCTCCTTTCATCATGTTGGCCAGGCTGGTCTCAAACTCCTGACCTCAGGTAATTTGCCTGTCTCAGCCTCCCGAAGTGCTGGGATTACAGGCATGAGCCACCATGCCTGGCCACAAGCCTTGTTTTAACCTGCAAGTGGGTGGGACTGAGGCAGCCTCAAGTGACCTGTCCCTCTCTCCCTTTGCTTCCCCTCCAGGAGGACAGTCAGTGACCCACAGCAGCCTGCCCATCATGGCCTCCCTGGCCAACTCACCTGTCTCCTTCAGCTGCAGGATCAGCTACCCGTACACCCCCCAATTCAAGGCTTTCACAGTCAGTGACCCACAGCAGCCTGCCCATCGTGGCCTCCCTGGCTAACTCAGCTGTCTCCTTCAGCTGCAGGATCAGCTACCCGTACACCCCCCAATTTAAGGCTTTCACAGTCAGCTACTTTCATGAAGACCTCCATGGGCGAAGGAGCCCTGAGAAGCCAACAGCCAACCAACTGCCACCCTGGACTGGGCATAGAGAACCAGACCTATGCCCTAAACTGCCTGGTCACCCTTGTGCCGTTGGACACATCAGCGACTGGCACCTACTACTGCTCTGTCAACAGGCCACACCCTGTGGCAACAGGCAGTGGCACCTTCATCCTGGTCAGAGGTGAGGCTTTCTCTGTGGCTCTTCCAGGGGCAAAAGACCCAGAGATTTCAACCAGCAGTTTGGGACTCCAGACCAGAAATAGAGAATGGGGCCAAGTGTAGTGACTCACGCCTGTAATCGCAGCACTTTGGGAGGCCAAGGCGGTAGATCACCTGAGGTCAGGAGTTTGAGACCAGCCTGGACAGTATGGTGAAACCCTTCTCTACTAAAAATACAAAAATGAGCTGGGCATGGTGGTGGGTGCCTATAGTCCCAGCTACTCGGAAGGCTAAGCCACGAGAATCCATTGAACCCAGGATTTGGAAGTTGCAGTGAGCCTAGATCGTACCATTGCACTCCAGCCTGGACAACAAGAGCAAAACTCTGTCTCAAAAAAAAAAAAGGAAGGAAAGCCGGGCATGGTGGCTCACATCTGTAGTCCCAGCACTTTGGGAGGCCGAGGAGGGAGGATCACCTGAGGTCGGGAGTTCAAGTCCAGCCTGACCAACATGGAGAAACCTCGTCTCTGCTAAAAATACAAAAAAATTAGCCAGCATGGTGGTGCATGCCTGTAATTCCAACTACCCAGAAGGCTGAGGCAGGAGAATTGCTTGAACTGGGAGGCAGAGGTTGCCATGAGCTGAGATCATGCCATTGCACTCTAGCCTGGGCAACAAGATCGAAACTACATCTCAAAAAAAAAAAAAAAAAAGGCGGTGGCTCAAGCCTGTAATCCTAGCATTTTGGGAGGCCTAGGTGGGTGGATCACCTGAGGTCAGAAGTTCAAGACCAGCCTGGCCATTATGGTGAAACCCCATCTTAAAAAAAAAAAAAAAAAAAAGGAAATAATTTGCCTTCTCTGCCAATGTTGGCAAAGCAGGACCCAGCCTTTTCAGGGAGCCCTGGCCTGCAGCTGTGCCAGGGCCCCACCTGCATATGGAAAGGGAAGGCCTGGCTTGCAGATCGGCCCCTAGATGCCTCTGGAAGGTGACCTGAGAGAGCTCACTCGGGCCCTTGGTCTCAGCGTGCACAGGCATCATGGCTTGGTGGACTTCTATAGAACTAGCCAGGTGCATGTATGTTCTTGTGGGAGCCTCGTGTATGTGAGCACTTGGCTCATGTATAATATACCTTTAGAGGTACAGGGTTTTAGTTTTCATCACGTTCTCTTATTTATTTATGTATTTATTTATTTTTTCTGAATCCAAGGTAAGATATTTTTTTTTATTTATTTTTTTGAGACAGAGTCTCACTCTATCACTAGGCTGGAGTGCAGTGGTGCTATCCCGGTTCACTGCAACCTCCGTTTTCCAGTTTCAAGCAACTCTCCTGCCTCAGCCGCTGGGACAACAGGCACACACCACCACGCCCGGCTAATTTTTTGTATTTTTAGTAGAGACGGGGTTTCATTATGTTGCAGGATGGTCTCGATCTCTTGACCTTGTGATCCACCCACCTCAGCTTCCCAAAGTGCTGGGATTACAGGCATGAGCCACCACGCCTGGCCATCTTTTTTTTTTTTTTTTTCTGAGACGGAGTCTCACTGTGTCACCGAGGCTGGAGTGCAGTGTCACGATCTCTGCTCACTGCAACCTCCACCTCCAGGGTCAAGCATTTCTCCTGCCTCAGCCTCCCAAAGTGCTGGGATTACAGGTGTGAGTCACCACAACCAGCTAGTTATCATCACATTCTCAAAGGAGTGATGACCCCAAAAGTTATGAGGGAGCCCCTGGCTGAAGCCCTGATTCTCTGACCTACCTCTGCGATCCCCTGGAAGGAGCTGGGGGCTTCCAAATCCCATAGGCCTGGGTTTGCACCCCTGTCCCGCTGCCTGATGTGCTTGGGCCTGGTCTTCATGGCAATCCTCTGCCTTCCAAGGACTTGGATGAGGATGAGGGAGATGGTGCCCATACGGGCTGGTGGCTGACTATAGGCACTGCTGGGGAAATCACCATGTGCCTGGCACCTGGTTCACACCCTGTGTGTTTTTGCCAGCCAGATGGATGAATGGATGGGGTAAAGGGGAAGGAGGAATGGATGACAGCAGGAGGAACAGTAGGATGACACAGAGGGAGGGCTGGGCCTCACCTAGCCCAGGTGCAGGGCCCCTCCACTGTCAGTCCCATTATAAACCCACCTCCTTCAGCCCTAGCCACATTCACCCCTATTATCACCACCTCACACAGGGAAAAGAAGAGACCCCAAGAAGGGAGACAATGGGCTCAGAGCCCTGCAGGCAGCCCTCAGGGGAGCTAGGGCACTGGGGCACTGGGGGAGCAAACGAGGCGGTCCCTGTCCTTACAGAGAATCAAGGCAGTGGAGGCCGGGCTCAGTGACTCACACCTGTAATCCCAGCACTCTGGGAGGACGAGGCGGTTGGATCATCTGAGGTTGGGAGTTTGAGACCAGCCTGACTAACATGGAGAAACCCCACCTCTACTAAAAATACAAAAATAAGCCCAGTGTGGTGGCACATGCCTGTAATCCCAGCTACTCAGGAGGCTGAGGCAGGAGAATCACTTTAACCCGGGAGACAGAAGTTTCAGTGAGCTGAGATCCTGCTTCTAGCCTGGGCAACAAGAGTGAAACTCCATCTCAAAAAAAAAAAAAAAAAAAAAAAGAAAGGCAGAAAGACAGAGAGAGAGAGAGAGAGGGAGGGAGGGAGGGAGAGAGAAAACAGAAAAGAAAAGAAAAGGACCCAGGGGGACAATGAAGGCCTGAGGCCCGGTTCCCGGGGACCCTAGTGGGGTGTGGAGTGTGTCAGCAGGGGAGTATTGAAAACAGGTCCTGGGTGAGGGAGAACATCCGCTTTCTCCTGGGTCACTGACCCCTCTGCTCCCCTGCTCTTCTTCCTAGACACAGGGTACTGAGAGCCCCTGTGGAGCCCTTAGAAGCTCCTGCTCTTTGGCTTCACCGGCCTCCTGAGTGTCCTGAGTGTTGTGGACACAGCCCTGTGGCTCCAGAAGAAGGTAGGCATGAATACTCACAGCCACACAGCCCCTCCACCCACACACCATGGGTTGGGGTGCCTCCAGGAAACAGAGAAGCTGCTGTGTCCTTGCCTGGTGAGGGCACATCCACATCTGTAACAGGTGGCCCTGGTGACTCCTTGTATTGGGACTGAGGGCACCTCTCCTGTGCCACTCCCCGAGCTGCTGTGGGGCCCCTTTTGATTCTGCTGAGAACCTGAGAGGGCCTGCAGACCCTCCTGCCTACCATTCCAGCTCCACAGATTAGGAAATCCCTGCCCAGAATTTTTGATCCCAGGAGGCTGGAAGGGAAGAAGGGGCTACCAGCCAAGGTGCCCTCCCACACACCCTCCACCATAGCTCCACAGGGAGGTTCCTTCCCATTTCACAGCTCTGGAAGGTGAGGCTCAGAGGTTGTGATTTGCCCAGGGTCAATAGTAGGTGTGCAGCAGAGTCGGGACTAGAGTGCAGGATGGGGTAGCTGGGTCCAGCTTCTCACCTGGACAGCTCCTGCTCACACTGCAGGTGGCCCCTGCCTGCTGAAGGAGCTTCTCTGCTGGCCCCCCCATACTCACTGTCACCCAGCCCTATGGATTCCTGTTCAATGCAGGCCCACCCTTCCTACCTGGCAGCAAGTGCCAGGAGGCCAGAGGCTGAGGCAGTCTTCTCTGGGGGTTTCGTGCCCAGCACATGAGAGTGCTCAGGCAGTATGCTGAGGGAAAGTATGTAGTACCCGCTGGGTTTTCCCAGGCCCAGGGGTGCAAAGATGACAGGTCAGGGCTCCTCAGAAGCTGCTGTTAGCAGCTCAGGCTACTGCTGCGCCCTGCCAAGCCTGAGGGCAGCTGAGTCAGCAATGGCCCTGGGTGTGAGGGGAGGGCAATGACACCATCACCTGGTCTCCCTGGGTCAAAGAAGGCTCAGCCCCTGCATCCAAAGGCCGAGACCCTACCCACACCCAGAGGAGAGCTCTCTTCCATGGGAATTTATGTGCTCATTCATTCAGCAAACACTCAACACCTCCAATATTCCAGACCCTGTTCTAGGCACTCGGGACGTAGCAATGACCAAACTGGAATCCTGAAATCTCTGTCTCTGAGGCCGGGCACAGTGGCTCAAGCTTGTAATCCCAGCACTTTGGAAGGCTGAGTTGGGCGGATCACTCGAGGTCAAGAGTTCGAGACCAGCCTGGCCAACATGGCAAAACCCCATCTCTACTAAAAATACAAAAATTAGCTGAGCACATCAGCGGGTACCTGTAGTCCTAGCTACTCAGGAGGCTGAGGTGGGAGAATCGCTTGAACCTGGGAAACGGAGGTTGCAGTGAGCCGGAATCATGCCACTGCATTCCAGCCTGGGCGATAGAGCAAGACTCCATCTCAAAAAAATAAAAAGAGGCTGGGTGCGATGGCTTATGCCTGTAATCCCAGCACTTTGGGAGGTTGATGTGGGCAGATCGCTTGAGGCCAGGAGTTCAAGACTAGTCTGACCAACATAGCAAAACCCTGCCTCTACTAAAAATACAAAAGTTAGCTGGGCATGGTGATGTGCGCCTGTCCTCCCAGCTACTCGAGAGGCTGAGGCAGAATTGCTTGAACCCAGGAGGCAGAGGTTGCAATGAGCAGAGATCGCACCACTGCACTCCAGCCCCTGGGTGACAAAGTGAGACTCCGTCTAAGAAAAAAAAAGAAAGTTTATTCTGATTGTGGTTTTGAATTTAAAAAAAAGAAAGAAAAAGAAAGTAAGAAAAGAAAAGAAAATCTGTTTTTATTAAATTGATATTCCCGCTGAGGTGAGTCAGACGATGAACCACCCAGTTTAACTCAGATGGGATAAGTGTTGGGGGGAACTCAGACTGGGAACAAAGAAGTGCCTGGAATGAAGGGAGGCAGGTGCACACCAGGGCCAGGTGTGTTCAGCGGGGGAACAGTGGGAGCAGGTACTCTGGGGCAGGAGCTGTAGTGGGGCTGAGGTGGCTTGTGTAGCCTGAGCTCAGAGTAGACAGATGGGAAGTGGAAGGAGGTCCCGCCAGGTAGGGGCATTGAAAGGACTTCAGCCCTTATTCTATGTGAGAAAAGGGAGGGGGTGGGATCAGACCCAGATTCTAATGGACCCTCTGGCTGGGTGAGGGACACCCAGTGAGGAGCTACTGCAAAGTCCAGGCAGAGGAGACAGGAGCCAGGACCAGGGTGGCCTCAGGGAAGCAGTGAGTGAAGTGGGTGAAAGGCTGAGTGGACCCAAAGAGACTCAGCAAAGAGATTTGCTCTGCTCCCTCCATGGTGGGCCTGAGCCTGAAGGCATCTGGATCTGGGCCTGGCAGGAGGCAGGTGTCAGGTGAGCTGTGGACTGGAAGAGCAGGCAAGGAAGCTGAAGGTCACAGCTTGCCTGAGCCACTGCAAGTGGCAGGCCTGGGACTAGAGTCCACGCTTTAGTTTCCCATCCTTGTCTTTAGGCTGAAGATGTCATTGCTTTTCCCAAGAAGGTTCTGGGGTGCTAAAAGAGCATGAACTTGGCCCTGTTCACCCCAGGAGCATCAGGGGCTGCATGTCCTTCTGTGAGCTGGCCTCTAGGTCAGGGCCTCAGCTGTGATGCTGGCTCCCATCCTTCCTCTGGGGCTGACCCTGGTGTGACTGGTCCTACTTTGACCTTGCCTTGTTGATGAGCTTCAAGGTGAAGTAAGCCACAGGCCCTGGGTGCCACTGTGAAGTCCAGGAGGGCTCTGGGTTCTGCTTTGACTCCAGCCCAGCCAGAGGGACCAGCTGAGCCAGGAAGACCCAAGATGGATGGGAACACTTCCTTCAGCTTCCATGAACCAGAATGAGACCAGCTGACTTCAGGCCACCTCCCTCCCCAAGCCAGCACAGAGGTGCACCTGCCATGTGCCCAGCCTGAGCCTTCCTTGCACGCCCCTGACTCCTGCCCTCAATATCTTCCCTCCCTCCCTCCTGCTTTTCCCATGATGATAGCAAGTAGGATATCTCTCCATTTCTTCACTACTTAGCAGACCACAGGCACTCAAAACGAGGCCAGGGGAGGAGCTGGGCCATGGACACAGAAACTGGGCTTCAGGCACAGGTGACAAGGGACTCTCCCTGCCTGCGGACCTCCACCCAGGGTTGCAGGAGTGACCCACACAAGTGCCCTCTGTGTACAAGAAGCACAACGGGTGAGCGGAAGAACGGGGCCAGGCGAGATCTTAACCCTGAGCCCCCCACTTGCTGAGCAACCCCAGCTCCTGCCCTACAAAGATGGGACCAGACTGTAGGGACTGGGTCACAGTATCAGTGAAGGAGGGGCAAAGCTCAGAGCTTGACTTCTGGTCCCAGCTTCCTCCCTGCTTCAGTGACTCCTGCCTTCCTCCTCCTCGTCCTCCTCCTCCTCCTCCTCCTCCTCCTCTCATTTCCCTGCCTGCACTTCCAGGAATGTCTGCAAAGTGTCTCATGTGTGCCATCACTAGGCTAAGTGCCAGCAGGGTGGGAGCAAGCCCTCTCATCAAGTTTGGGCCCTCTCTGAGCCTTGGTTTTCTCCTCTGGAAATAAGGATACAGATAGACCCTGCCCACCAAGTGAACATGGAAGGAGAGCACTTTTTTTTTTGAGATGGAGTTTCATTCTTTTGGCCCACGCTGGAGTGCAATGGTGTGATCTCAACTTACTACAACCTCCACCTCTCAGGTTCAAGTGATCCTCCTGCCTCAGCCTCCCAAGTAGCTGGAATTACAGGTGCGCACCACCATGCGTGGCTAACTTTGTATTTTTAGTAGAGACAGGGTTTCACCATGTTGGCCAGGCTGATCTCAAACCTCGGGTGATCTGCAGGAGAGCACTTTTGAGGCACCAGTTGGGTGCCTGATGCACAGTAGGAGCTTCCTGCTGCCTCCACATCCCCTGACCCTGGGGAGGACAGTTGAGATGAGAGCCTGGGCTGGGAGGGAAAGAGAATCCGGGGCCCAGAGCTGCTGCTGTGTTTGCATTGCTGAAGAAGCCCGGAGCCCCCAGGTTCACTGTGGATGCCCCTGAGGGCCTCCCGGAACCCCCAGGTTCACTGTGGATGCCCCTGAGGGCCTCGGCAGGATGGGGAAAGGAGAGAGTCCAGGAAAAAGACATTCCCTCCAGGCACAGAGGACCCGGGAGCACCTGTGGTGGTGGATAAGTGAATCAAGGCTGGAAACTACCAACTAGAAGCGGCAGAGGGTGAACTGGAACAGAGCAGAGTGTGCAACCCCACTGGGCTGAGTCTGGAAAAATGGCTTTGCCTCCTCGGGGGAAGTGCCTGCAAAGGCCAGGCAGGAGGGCACGGCACACCCTTAGAAGATGGGAGCTGGAGGGTAGCAAGAATTGAAGACCCATGGAGGCTGCCGGGAGGGGTTGGGGCAGGAGGGACGGGGGTGGAGCCCAGGAATGGATGACCCACAGGTGGCACTGTCAGCCCTGCCTGCAGGCCCTTCAACAGCAGAGGCCTCGTGGACCCTCCTTGTTCTCTGTGCTCCAGCACCTGGGATGACTCCTGGAGATCTCCTTCTTGTCTTTCTGGACCCAGCTCCCATGTCCCCAGCTCAGAGAGGCCCTCCCCATGGCTACTTCTCTGCCACCACCCTTGCCTCTGTTCTCGTCATCTGTAGGTCTCCTGATCTCTTACTCTATTTCTTCCCCAAAGCCAGCTCTGTGAGGCTGGGTGCCTCTCAGCCTGTTCCCTGTCACACGCAGCCCCAGCCTCTAGCACAGGGCCCCCACATAGTAGGCCCTCAATTAATATTTGCTGAAGGGCTTACCATTTATAGGGCTCTTTCACACCTGTCATTAAATTCATTCATTCAGGCCAGTTGCAGTGGCTCACACCTGTAGTCCCAGTACTTTGGGAGGCCCAGGTGGGCTGATCACCTGAGGTTGGGAGCTGGAGACCAGCCTAGCCAACATGGGGAAATCCTATCTCTACAAAAAATACAAAAATTAGCTGGGTGGGGTATGGCATGTCTATAATCCCAGCTACTCAGGAGGCTGAGG